AAGAAAAAAGTCAGTATAAGGGTAGGTATTGTTCTTACTATGATAAAACTATGCCTTACAAGCCAAAAATAAGAATTCCAGGTCTGACAAAGATTCTAGGAACATGCTCTTATCATAAAGCAAGTGTCAGTGGTGTAATAAAAAAAGTCCACTTGGGCTGGAATGTAGCTCAGTGGTAAAGCACTTGGCTAGCATGCACAAGGCCCTGGGTTTGATTCCCAGGATCACGAAAAAGAAAAAGAAGAAAAAAGTCAGTATAAGGGTAGGTATTGTTCTTACTATGATAAAACTATGCCTTACAAGCCAAAAATAAGAATTCCAGGTCTGACAAAGATTTTCTCTTTTTTTTTTGGTACGGGGATCAAACTTTGGACCTCTGGACCTTGTGCTTATGCGGCAGGCAGTGGAACCACTGAGCTAAATTCCCAGCCCTGACAAAGAATTTTTATGTCATGTCCAAGATCAAAGCTGTATGAATTATAGTTGAGATGCTAATTTTGGAATTATTAGAATATAGTTTAAAGGCTGGGGATGTAACTCAGTGGCAAAGCACTGGCTTAGTATGACAAGGCTGTGGGTTCAATCCCAAGTATTCAAAACAAAACTAAATATGGTTTATAGGAAACAACAGGGACAAAATACCTAAAATTGGAACGTCTCTCAGAGAACCAGAGGCAGCCATGTTTACTGCAGCATTGGAGGAAAATGCATTTTCTTATAGGTCAGAAATTTAGGGGCTGGGGATTTAGCCCAGTGGTTCTGGCACCTGCCTTGCAAGTGCAAGGTCCTGAGTTCGATCCCCGGTACCAAAGAAAAAAGTTTTTTTCCCTGAATGTATCAACCTATGACTCCAGGTGTCATGCTCTTATAGACTGTAGATTCTTTTAGGGGCTGGGGATTTAGCTCAGTGGTTTCACCGCCTGCTGTGCAAGCACAAGGGCCCGAGTTTGATCCCCAATACCAAAAAACAAAAAAAAGACATTTAGGTTCTTGACCCACCTGTGTCATCAACACACAAATGACTGAATGCCAGTTATTTAATTTGCCTAGAGCTTGGTTTTTCTCACTTGTCATGGAAACCTACCCACCTTCAAGAGATTGTTTGAGGGTCTTTTGACATGAATAATATGAAAGTGCTTTAAAATGAAAGATCCCAGGGGCCGGGGATTTAGCTCAGTTCCACTGCCTGCCTCGAAAGCTCAAGGTCCTGAGTTCGATCCCCAGTACCAAAAAATAAATAAATCATAAAAGATCCCAATTTCAAGCTGTGTGACACTTTTGGGGGGATACCAAGGGTCGAACTCAGGACCTTGCACTAGTGAGACAGGTGCAGTGCCACTGGGCTAAATCCCCAGCCCTGTGACACTTTTTTTTTTTATGACACTTGTTTATAGTCTTCTGATTCTTTTTCTTCCTAAAAAAAAAATTAGGGCCTGGGATTTAGCTTAGTGACAATGCACCTACCTTGCTTGCAAGCACAAGGTCCTGAGTTTGATCCCCCGTACCGGGAAAAATAAATAAATAAAATAAAAATTAAAAATATATGAAGAAAGAGGAACACTTGTTTTGATTACTTGCTAGGGGTCTGTGGTATTTGGGAGGAAGAAAAAAGGAAAATGTAAATAAGTACAGAACTGTCTTCGTGTTCAGCTTATTAAAAATGTGAGCAACCCAACAGCACAGGTGTGCCGATTTTGCAAGTCCTACCAGGCTTTGGGACAGGTTGGTAAAAAGCTGTCCTGAGGCCAGGATTTAGCTCAGTGGTGCCACCACCTGCCTCACAAGCTCAAGGTCCTGAGTTTGATCCCCAGTACCAAAAAGATAAAAAGAAAAAAACCCATTAAAAAAAAGCTGTCCTCTGCAACACCAGCAGCAGATTGAAATGAGTGAAGCTTTCAGACTAATATATGCTGTTTTGTTTTGTTTTTCTTTCTTGTTACATTGCTGATTTCATCTGACCACCATCTGCTTTTGTTACAGACTGTTAAAGGTGGGATTTCAGAGACCCGGATTGAAAAGAGAATTGTAATTACAGGAGATGCTGATATTGACCACGATCAGGTAAGAATGCCAAAGAGATTCTGAGCATAGGACGGGGATGATTGGTGGATACAGGAGTGGGCACACAGAGGATGCCTCCACCATCTTTATCTCCAAGAAACTTCTTTGGCTACTCTATCTCTTGAGAAGGAAAATGAAGGGAATCAAACTGTGGAGGCCTGAGGGACGGGAGCTGCAGGTGGGAAAGCCAGGAAGTGCAGTGGAAAGAACATGGGCTCTGGGCTCAAAGATTTGCATATTACTGTGTTCTAGCTCTTAACTCTTGGGACTCTTCTTCCTCATCTTGAAACTGTGGATTATAGTGTCCTCCTGTCAAGGTTTTTGTGCCTGTCAAGTGAGATGCAAGACGTACAGTATGGAGCAGGCACAAGGTGAGCTCCTGGTAAATGGAGCTGTTTTTGTTCAGGAGGAACAGGCCCTGCACCTGTACTAGATGATACTGAAATCAAAAAGAAGCCTGGTCCCTACTCCACAGCACTGCAGTCACAGAGAAGACAACAAGGGGCACTCCAGGTAGTGGACAAGACACCGGGAGACTCACAGCTTGGTTTCTGCCCTAGATCCACCACTAACTCATGTGACCTTGGGCAAACCACTTTACCTCTGATGTCTTTCCTCTCCTAAAAGAGAGTGGATTGATCTAGATAATTTCTGAGCCTTTCTGTGTTCTAAATTTCTATGTTATTATGTTAATTAGGTGCTAATTGTGTGCTACAAGCAATTAGCAAATAATAAGGTCAGGATTAATGTTCCCGATTCTCTGCTGGGGGAGGTTAGAACATTAAGGCTGCAGAGGAGAGGGGGTGGAAGAGACTGTATGTAAATGCTTCTGGAATCATTGACAGGATTGCTAAAGCAATAACTTTGTGGCCTTTATGCTGATATGCTGAATGTCTTTAAAAAGAGAAAATTGAGCTGGAGTGCTGGCAGTTCTCTTGGTAGCAGGGTTGAGACTTGCAACTGAGAATACTGGGTCCAGGGTCTCAGAAACAAGGTGCAGAGCCCAAGGGGGAGGCAGTTAGCCCAGCTCAGTGAGCCCTGCTGCATTACCAGCCCGAGTTTCGGTGTGATCTGAGCCCCTGCTTTGTACTCAGTCTTCACTAAGACCAGTGAGGTGGAAGGTGTGCCTTGCAGTGAGACAGAATTGGGCTGAACCCTAACTCTGACTTCTAGTATGTACCCCATAAGCACTTACATTACTTCTGAGCTGTAGTTTGACTGTCTGTGAAATAAAGATCATCACAGGTTTCTTTCAAGGTTTTTTTGTTTTTTGGTACCGGGAATCGAACTCAGAACCTTGTGCTTGCAAGGCAGGCACAGTGCCACTGAGCTAAATCCCTGGGCCTCTTTCAAGGTTTTGTAACAAAAAAGCAAGCATTCTTTGATAGCTTTTTTTTTTTTAGCTTTTTTTTTTTTTTGAGATAGGGTCTCACTGTGTTGTTCAAGCTGGCCTTGAACTTTGCGTAGCCCAGGCTGGCCTCGAACTGGAGGGAATCCTCTTGTCTCAGCCTCCCAAATGCTGGGATTACAGGCATGCACTCTTCCTTTTTGTAGCATACTTCTTTACTTTCCTCTCTTTTCCTTAACTTCCTGGTTACCCTGTATTGAACAGAGTCTGTCCTCCAGAGTCACTGCTTGAGTGAATCCTCTCAGACCCACCCAGGTGGGTGTAGCTATTGCCCTGGCTTACAGCTCTGGCCTTCCCTGTCTTCTGTGTCTGAGGCCTCCCTCTGCAGGAGGAGGGGACAAGGTAATTACCAGGCTGGCCTAGGCTGACATCACCAAGAAGTGATGGCCTCGACCTTGGCCCTCTTTCACCTGCCTGGCTGCTTTTTGCCTGATGGAATTGTCCTTATCTTTCACAGGTCCTGGTACAAGCCATCAAGGAGGCAAAGGAGCAGCACCCAGACATGTCAGTGACCAAGGTGGTCGTCCATCAGGAGACTGAGATCTCTGAGGAATGAGCTCAGGTAGGAGGTGTTCTAGCTGTGGTTGTGGACACCATTGTGCTAGCCTGAGAGAGTTCTGGCAGGGCCTGTGAACACTCAGGGAGCCCATCACCCCAAGGAGATGTTCACACTGGCATGTCATAAAGTAGAAGTAGAGAAGATTATTAAATAGTATTTGGCTCCAACCAAAACAGCCAGGTGATTTGTGTTCTCCTGCTCTTAACAGTGCCAGCAATATTGGGTAGGTTCCCCAAACTTGTATGTAAAACCTTGCTCACTGCCTGAATCTGTTTATCTCTCCTTCTCCACTTCACCATCCCCTGGTTCTGCTCTCTGAGTCACAGGTATACCTGAGCCTGAACCTAGGCGGGCCAGAGGAGAATGAAACCAAAGAGCTAGACCAGGCAGGATAGGGCTCAGGTAAGGAATGGCTGAAGCTCCGGACCAGACTAAAAATTTGGAGCCAGGGAAGCTGCTCTCTGGGAGCAGGGATCTAGATAGATTCAGGGCCAAAGTAGTTTACAAAGGACTTGAAGTAGCCACCCATCATCAGGTGGGACGTGCGTGGGGCTCAGGTCCTGATCGTCATTTATGGCCACACAAACTTGGCAGTGGGGCTGGGAAACTCGCTCCTTTGCAGAATTTAAAAATGTGCTTCTTTCTTTCCTCTAGGAACTATCCTACTCCCAATTCCCTGCCCTTCTCCCGTCCAAGAGAAACCAGCAAAATGATTGGGAAGCCAACCTGCAATAGTCAGACTTTAGACTTGCAAGTTATCCTAAACCACCAGATAATTAATTTCATTTTCTATTTGGAGTTTATAACAAGAGATTCTTCTAGATACCACCGATCCTTTGAAGACCTTTTTCTATATTGTAATACCTGAAATTGTTCAACTTTTCACTCTATGGACTGTTTTAAAGAATTCTTGGGTTTTTTTACGGGGTAGTTTGTAACCCCTTCAACCTACCCTCTCCCCACTTATTTCCAACCCAGATACAGATGGGGTCCACAGAATTCTGCAGGATCCTCCAGAGATTCTGTCAGTTGTGTTGGAGGCCAAAATCAGCCATGGGACATCCCCTCCTCCCCTAATCTTATACTCGTTGGATGACAACAGAAACTTCATGGCACAGCTTCCTCAGAACCAATGATGTGACTTTGCCAGAATGTCAGGCAGGGGGACTGTCCTGATCCACAGCTCTCGAAAAAAAAATGTCCTGTCCTTTTGTCAGGCTGTTTTTGGTGAAGCAGAGACCTCTGCTGAGAATGTAGTATTGTTTTACTCCTCCCCAACCTGTTCTGTTTTGGAGCTTCTTTAGGTCAGACAGAAGAAGTTGCTTCAGATATATCTGATACTGTGAATGTTTGAACATATCTGTGGCCTTCATCTCCCCTTCTGGCCTGTTACCTCATCAGAAGCAGTGACTCTGCCAGGCTTCCCCAACCTCCCATCTCAGGAGACCAAAACTCACGGAAAAATAAGCACTTTTGGCCAAAAGTTCTAATGGAACATTTTAATGGTGGTTTGGGGAGGGAAAGTTAATAAGGTTTTAAAAATAAGGTCTTTTAGTTCTGGAAGTGTGTACTTCACACAGGGGAATGTGGAGTTTACCTCAGTTGGATCCTGCTAAGGAATATTTCCAGGTGGCTGTGCCTCTTTCTCTTCCAGCATGGTAACAGAAATGGCTCAGAGAGGTCATGTTCTTTGACCTTTCTTCTCTGCATGAAGACACCCTCCTGGAGCAAGGGTGTTACAGGCTTAGGAGCCACCCTCCCACAGGACACCACACAAAGGCCCCTGGTCTGCTCATTCCCACTCACCACCTGAGGTCTGCTGGGTTCTGTAGGCTTGATTCTGTGGTGGGTTTTGGATTTTTTTTTTTTTTTTTTCTTTTTGGTCTTGGTTTTGAAAATGAGGCCTGATGTCCCTAATTCCTGGTAGGGATTTGGAGGCATTTTTATTCAGTAGGGCTTCTCTGTATCTTCTGGCTTGCTTCCTACAAACAGATCTGCCTGGAAGCTTCTCAGAATCCTAAGTCTAGGCCAGAAGTGAACTTCATGAGATTAGACAGGGGGTCACTGACAGCGATTGCCGGGGGGCTGAAGGGCAGTGAGCATGAGAGAAGTCTAAAAGTCAGCAGTGCAGTGTCTCTACTAGCTGAGTTTTTAGACAAACTCAGCTAGTTTGAACTGATTTCAAGTGTGTGCATTTTCCTTTTAGTTCTCATGTGAGACTGTTAACCAGGGACCCCTCTCTCAGGAGGGACAGGAGAGCACTGGTGGGATCTACCACAAGCTTGGGGGTAAAGCAGGTTGTCCTATCTCAGGAAGAAACAGGCTGTGGCACAGGGTCTGAGGTGATGGGCTTTCTGGGTGGGGCTCAGGCCAGGGCAATATTGGCAGGAGTGGTGGAAGTTAAAACTTAAGGGGGCCGGGGATTTAGCTCAGTGGCACCACGCCTGCCTCAAAAGTGCAAGGTCCTCAGTTCGATCCCCAGTACTGCAAAAAAACCCCACAAAACTCTAGGTCCTGCAGGGGATGTAGATCAGGGGCACCATGGCTGTCTCACAAGTGCAGGGTCCTAAGTTCAATCCCCAGTACCAAAAAGCAAAACAAAATGAAAAACCTGTAAGTCCCATTCAACAAGCACATAATGGAGCTTGCTTCCCAGGGCCAGCTGTCCTGCTAACCAAGCTATGGGACTCACAAAGCTGAACCTGTGGGATGAAGGGAATGAGGGAAGAGGACACACCATGTCTATTTAGAACCCTGAGGACTCTGCTATCTGGATCTGTGTTGGAGCTCTCATAGCACAGGACCCAGACCTGCAGGCATAAACCTTCCTTGGCTCTGCCACCAGCTCACTCCTCCTCTCCACCTCCTTTGTCTGCAATTGGACTAGAACTCTAATTTCCTTCCAAGCCTCTTCCACCTTCCTCTCTCTGAAACAGATCTAGGGATTTGGCAATTGTTTTGATTTTATTCTTTCTGCAGTTGCGTGCATGTGTGTGTGTGTGAAGAAAAACAGGCTCTGTTCAGGTAGAAATGGTGAAGGTAGAGAAGGGGGTTACACTCCCGGGGTCAGAGACTTGGGTGCAGTTTTCCTAAAGTGACTCAGACACACCACAGTAACAACTCTCACTGCAAATTTTATTTTTACTTTAGAAATAAAAATTTCCTTCAAACCACATGAGATCTCTGCCACCCACCCACAAAGCAAGACCTACATTCATAAGCCAAGGGCTTAGGGAGCCTAAATGCAGGGACCATCAGGCACCTTCACCACACCTCCCCCAGGCCTGTATTCTGGGGGACACAGAGCAGTGGGGGGGGGGTGTGAAAAGCCCACCATCACCCTGGGAAAGGGAGTCAGAGCTACGGCCTGACCAGCACCCCTTGGTGTTCACAGGAAATCTTTGCCCAGGATCTCAGCCCCAGGCTGCTCATTTTTAGAAATCTCTCAAATGTATTATTTTGATGGCAAAAATGAAGGAGCTTTGTAAATTTTTTAAAAATTATGAATCATACAAAGTAGTTTACATTTCTCGACAAAATAGGAACTATTGCAGCAGAATCAAATTGGCAAAATCCTTAGATTAAATAGGCAATAATTAGGTCTGCTGTTTTGGCCTTTTGTAGTAAGAAGTGGTTGTAGTGTTTAGATACGTGTTTGGTCTTGGCTTCTTGTATTGCATTTTCCAATAAACTTAAAAAAAAAACCTGAGTCTGTGAGGATTGAATCACTTTTAAATTTGTCTTCTTCCAGCAACTTGGGGAAATTTAAACCCTGAGTAGGGGAAACCTAAACTGAACCATTTTCTCAAGTAAGCTATCCACATTGGCCAAAAACGCAGCTTCACTGTTGTAGAAAGGGTTTCTTTTTTTTTTGGTACCGGGGATCGAACTCAGGTCCTTACACTTTCGAGGCAGGCGGCGGCGGAACCACTGAGCTAATTCCCCAGCCCTGTAGAAAGGGTTTCTGAGAGCCGGAGGGAGATTTTGCAGCCCAGGCCCTCATGAAGTTAGAAGACCTCTCAGACCTGTCTGGGAGGGGCCAGACTCGGTATGAAGGCATTGGCAGTAGTCAGCCCTAGAGGGATGTATCCCTCTGGGCTGAGGGAAGGGTGTGAGATGGTGGGAGTTCAAGCCTCACTCCCCATCCTAGATGGCAGAGGAGGGGCTCAACTCCACCCCATTGCCCATCTTTCTTCCCAGAGGTCCATATGCCCTCAACCAGCCACCGTGGATAGAGCCTGTCCCAGCCTGAAACATCCCAACCTATCCTCCAAGTATTAAGAGGACTTTGCCCATTACTTTGGGTTTGCCAACGCACCAAGTTCATCTTCCAGCCACCCTGGCCTGGGCCTCCAGCGCCTTCAGGTGCCTGTTCAGGGCTAAGGCCACATACGGAGGCTGAAGAAATTCCTAGGGCCAAGTCATGCTGATCTCCACACGCCACATTACAATATTTCCTCTCTGGCTCACGGCGCACCAGTGCAGCTGGCTTCTCTGTCCACATGCAAGGCAGGATGCCTTAGCAGCTGCTGTGATCACAGCATCCATCCCAGCCAGGGATGTGACTGAAGCAGCTCGCAGACATTAGGACTTTGGGTCCTCTGTTCCTGTTACCATGGCCCATGGTGCAGCCCCATAGGTTGCCCTCCTGTTTCTCAGACCTGGGACCCCAAGTCCCCCCCTCCCCTTAGTTTGGCATACCCGCCCAGACTGAGGCGGTCCAGTCGTGGCCAGCTGCGGTGAGCACAGTCCCGAGCCGCTGGGGACCCCAGGAGGAGCTCCCCAAAGCCCAGGTCCAGAGACTTGGAATGTTCAATGTAGGATCCAGAGGGCTGCACTGCGATGATCACGTGACCAGTCTGGCTTCGTGGACCCCAGGATGGGGCCAGCCCTGGGTCCTTCAGTGGGTAGCTGTTGAGCAGGGCAGGTAACCCCAAGCGAGGATTAGCAGGCTCTGAACGCAGACTCCGAACTGACGGCACGGGTGAGGTGCCCTGACGCGGGGCCAGGTCCCAACTTTCCGGCTCTGCGCAGCCTATGGCTCTGGGAGTCCTGGGGCCAGGGCTGGGAAGGAGGGCGCAGTCCCAGCCGGGGCCGTCGGGGGGCCGCAGAGCCTGGGCGCGCAGCACCCCCTGGCGGAGCAGTCGCGTCTCCAAGTCTCGGTTCTCATACAGAAGCGTGTTGGCGCAGATGAACACAAACAGGCCGACGCCCATGATCACCGGCCCCAGCAGCCGCAACCGCTCGTGTGGGCCATGGCCCCGGCCCGCACCGCGCCCTTCGCGTCGCAGCTCGCTGACGGGAGGCGCACTGGCATTGGCGGCCCGGGGCCCTGGGGCTCCCACGCGATGCGGCCAGTAGCCAGCCACTGCGATGCCCATGCCCACCAGTACCACAAGCGCCCCCAGCGCCGCGAACGCCCCCGACGGCGAGCGCAGCCGCAGCCGCGCCCGCACCCGCAGAGGCTCCGGCGGGGAGCGCGGGCGCCGGCGGCGGCCCAGGCGGCGGCCCAGGCGGGAGACGCGGCCCTCGGGGCTCCTCCGCGCCTTCCCGCAGTCTCCGGGGCTCCCGGCCGTCATCTAGCTGTCGTCTGGGCGCTCTGCGGAGAGAAGACGGGAAGCGGGCACTGAGCCGACGGGTGTAGGCTCGGGGCGCCAGGCTCCGGACCCAGATCCGGGAGGGAAGCGCGGACCGCCTCGCCTGGGCCGCTTGGAGATCCCTGGCGGCCACCCCCGGATTTTCCTGGGCTGAGAGGGAGGGAGCCACCCCCGCTCGGGTTTTCCGCAGCGGAGCTCCGAGCCAGGGACGCGCGGCAGAAGCCCGGGTTGGCCGGGTCCGCGGGCGGAGAGGAGGGAGGGGGCTGCAGGCTACTCTCTGGCGCATCCCGGGCTGCGGGGCCCGGCAGCCAGCGCTCTCTCCGCCTGCCAGCGATCCTGGGACTCGGGAAGCAGACACCAGGCAGCGCGCTCCTGGTGAGTAGCGCCGGTCCCGCCCCACCCCCGCACGTGGCCGCGCGATAGTCACCGGGGAGGGGGCGCGCAGGCCGCCGGGTCCGCGGGGGTCGCCGCGCACTCCCCACCCTGCGATGCACTTACCGCAGCGCGGGAAGGAGGGGGCGCCACTGACTGCAGCTCTCCTTCCCGCCCCCTCCTTCCAGACTTCCTCAGTCAGCGCCGGGGCTGCAGCAGGAGAGATTCGAGCTAGACTTCGGGAAGACCGCCCTGACCGGGCCAGCCAGTCAGGACAGGAGGCGGCGGCAGACTTTGTCCAAGATTTTTCTCAACTCCGCCAGAAGAGGCCTCCCCCTCCCCCAGCGGCCCGGCCCGAGCCAGGGGCCTGCGGTGCTGGGCGCGGGGCCTCGCGGTCGACTCTCCGCTCGGCTCTCCCGTCGGCCCAGGCAAGGCTGCTCCTAGGTTGCAGCGTTTCCAATTCGGGCTCCTCGGGATGAATCATCCCCCTTTCGAGCCGCCTGGCCTCCTTTCCGGCCTCCTCCGCCCGAGGCCTCAGTGGACCCCGTCCCGGGCCAGAGCAGCACCGCCTCTGAGGCCCGGGGTCCCGACCCACACAGCTGACGCCCCTCCAGGCTGCTGCTTGCGTCCAGCAGCCGCCTGAGCACCGGACGAAAGACCAGGCAGGAGCAGCCGGCCTGAGCGCGGCGTGGCCCCCCGAAGTCTGCGTACCCGCGCCCCAGTCTGGTTTGCGCACAGCTGCAGCGCTAGGAGCCGCAGCCAGGCCTCGAGGCGTAGGCCCCAGCACCCTGCCGCGCCGCAGCCGCACCCGCACCCGAAGCGCAGGGGGGACCGACCCTGCCTCAGACAGCAGCGCCGAGGCCTGGGGGATGGCGGGGAGCACAGTGTCCGCAGTGTCCAAACCCAAGTTCGCAGATGGAACCGTGGGCCAGGAGAGCGCAGGGGCCGGCCGGGTCCCACCGCCGCAAGAGCTCTGGGCCCTGGGCACTTCTGGGCGCAGCCACAGGCGCGTCCCAAGAGCAGACCCCTTTGTCCCCGCGTGTGGAGCCCTTTTGCAGCCTGAAACCAGAGTGACCACCCCACCTCGAGCCAGAGCTGGCACCCCAGCCCCTACTCCTGAAAGGTCACCCTCCTAGCCGCGGCCCGTCCCTGCCAGGAGGCGACAGCACGCAGAGTCAGGGTGACATATTCAGAGGCCTCAAGACTCTGAAGGGCGTGAGGCAACGCTTCGGGACCTCAGGAGGGCGGACACTTGGACACACAGCCCGCTGGTCCGGGGAAGTTGCTCAGGCAGAGACCCCTGTACTCCCCGATCCTGCACCGCCTGTGTCCACACTCTGGCCCCGGGAAAAGGAGAACCAGGGCCCTCAGAGGGGAGGAGTCAAACAAAGTTAGGGAAAGTGGGGTGGCGAGGCCGTGGCCCCTAGTTCTGGTCACCTGGCGCCGCCGCGCCCGGACGGGTCGGGCTCCGAATCCGCGCTGCGGCTCCCCGCGCCGCCTGGGTCTCGGCGAGTCCCGCCCCGGCCCGCCCCGCAGCCCCTGGAACCCAGCTGCCGCGCCTCACCCGGCGGGAAGACGCAGCTCAGTTTCCCGGGCCGCAGGTGAGCGCCGCGTGTGTGCCTGGCGACTCCGAGGGTCCGGGCGCGAATCCCGCCATCCGCGAGCCCCCCACTCCCAGCCTACGTCGTGCGCCGGGGCTGAGGGGGTGCGCCCTGCCTGAGCGGGAAACGGCCGGGAGCCTCCTTCCCAGCCCGGGCGACCGAGTCCTGCCCCGACGCTCGGCCCTGCGCTGTCGGAAGCTCGCCGCCGTCCTCCGCAGAAAGCGGGCCACGCCGTCTGCCCTGCAAAGTGCCCGGAGGCGAGAACCCGGCCTCGAGGGCAGTGCCCCTCATACAGGGCTTAGCCGGGCACCCCGAGCCCTCGATGAGAAGCATTCGCGGGGAGGACACTAGGGACGGCGGGGCGCTCGGGGCCCAGACCGGGGTGTCTCGGTGTTACCGAAATCGCGCTCATCCCAGCGGGGAGCGGCCTCGCCCCGCGAACAGGAAGCGGCGACCCCGCGACGGCCGGACGTGGCGGGGGGGGGGGGCTCAGGCGCCCGCGCGAGGAATGCGATGGGGCGGGCCGGGCGGGCCGCCAGTTTCCATGATGCGGGGGGCGGGCGTCCAGGCTGCGCGCTGCCGGGGGAGAATTTCCGGCCTGGGATTGATTAGGCCGCCTCTTCCCCGCCACAGGACCCCATGGCTCGCGGCCGTAATGAGCCCCGGCTGGCGCGGGCGGGGGCAACTCCACCCAGTGGCCCAGCACCCGACTTCGGCCCGTGCTCTGCGGAAGACACGGGAGGGGCCTGCCCCCCCCCCCCCACCAAGGACCCTGAGGAGGCACAGTGCGGGCGATTCTTGCCACTCGGTCCGATGGAGCTGCGGAGAGCTGCCCCTGCCCTGCCTCTCCCTCTCGGCTCCCTCCCTTCCTCTCAGGACCCCTGCCCGTCGACCTCCACACGCACACTGCGCCGCACCCTCCGGATCAGCGCCTGTTGCCGTCCAGGCTCGCTGCTTTTCCTGGGGACGCCGGTTCTGAGGGCCAAAGCCTGGACTGGCCTTACTGACCCCACCCTCGGGTGGCCGCCTTTCCTCTTGCTCCTGGGCCTGCTCTGGGGCTCTCACATTCCTGGCTTGGCTTTCCTCCCTCACTGTCCCGTGTCTTCCCTGGTGTTGGGGCCCCTCCCACCTGGGCCCCAAGCCCAGCTTCACTTTGACCAGTGGACACCTCCCTGGGCCCCTTGTCACCCCACCCTGTGAAGGGCCCCACTGTCCCTCACAGTGCTCGGGGGTCACCTTAGGCTCCTTCCTCCACTCCATCAAGACTTCCAGACAGACACCAAGCATCTTTTTACTCTAAATCTGGCCCTGCCACTCCCTGATTCAAAGCCTCAGTGGCTCCCCAGCACCATGCAATACACTTTAAAATCCGAGTCATCACCACATACCAGTCTCTGGCCCCTATTCTTCATCCTCCTGGGTGGCTAAACTCGTTTCTTTCCAAGACCCTCTGTTTTCTTTCCTCAGGGGCTTGACATTTTCCTGGCAGCTGCGGCTCTCTTCTCTTTTGCTTTCTCCCCCCTTCCCTCTCTCTCTCCTCTCTCTTTTCTCCCTATTCTCCTTCCTTCCTCCCCCTTCCTTCCTTTCTTTGATTGAACCCAGAGCCTTCATGCTGAGCTACATCCCCAGCCTTTTAAAAGATGAGGTCTGGCTAAATGGCCCAGGCTGTCCCCATACTTGTGATCCTCTTGCCTCAGCCTCCCAGAGAGTGTTGGGACCACAAACGTGCACCACTGTGCCACCTATTTCCCTGGTGGTCACCTTGCTACCTCCTACTCAGGCCTTCTTCCAGCCCCCTGGTCAGGTCAGCCCGTCTCTTCCTCTCCATGACAGGCCCTTGTGCACCAGAAGTGTCCCTGAGCACAGGCGACCTGAAATTGCTCAGGAATTGAGTCTGTTTCCTGCTGGAGTTCTGACGCACAGGGCTGGGTCTGTCTTGCACATCCTGGAGCACTGTGCACAGCCCTTGGTGTTTCCAAGGTCTGTACCCCCCAACACTAGACCCCTTCCTATTCTCTACTTCTGGGCCCTGGCCCAGACAGCACACACAAAAGACTCAGCTCTGAGTCTCAGTTTCCCCATCCATAAAAAACAGGGAATAATACTGACCTGCTAGTGTCGTTTTGAAGGTTAAATAAGAGTACAAGTGTTCGGCGCCTGACACAAAGTGGGTGTCAGCAAACAGCTTCCCCCTGCCCTGACCGTGAGGCTTCAAGTCCAGAGGGCAGTGTGTGGGCCTGTGGAAACCTTCTCCGGAGTCATTTAGGATGGCAGGGGCAGAAGGAGACCCCTTTCCCAGGCATAATCCTGATGAGTTCGCTTGAGAGTTCTGGGAGGTCATTGATAGGCCCAGATAGATGCAGAAACTGGCTGGGAGGGTAGAGCTCTGTCCACAAGTGCAGCCAGGCCGATTAATTTGCCCCCATCTGCAGAGGGACCTCTTCTGGCCTGTGTGGCTCAGCCCTGCAGAAACCAGTGCATGGTAGACAGTGGCTCAGTACTGGGACACTCACTCACTGATTGCCCCCTAGAGGCCTGGATCCGGGTCAAATCTGCTCTATGTAACCGTGGCTCCTTCCCTCAGAACCAGGAGGGGCCTGGGTGAGATGTCCCCTGGGGACGAGAGTGATGCACATCTCTTCCTGTCACTCCTGAGGCTCCAGGTCCTCTCCGGAAGCCCCCTGGGGTGAAAGCAGAACAACTGTCACCTTCTCGGGCACAGCTCCACTCTGGGTCACAGAAATACAGCTCTGTCCTGCGCGCTTTAGGAACAAGGCTGGCACTGTGGGCTGCTTCAGCTTTCCTGCCCCTGCCCCAGCCCCAGTCTTGGCGTGGCTTGGGAGAGCACTCAGAGGACACCACCTGATACCAATGTGTCCTGTGCACATGGGGCCCTGCAGCTCCCACCAAGACCTCAACTTCCACTAAGAATTCAGAGCCAGTTCCAAGGGCAGAAAGACCATGGCCCAGGCTGCAGCTTTGATCATGCTCCTCGGCCACAGTGTGTCATTGGGCGAGTCACAGCAGTCCTTCCTGCTCCTGCCTGTCATGTGTCCCCCACAAGCAGGACCGTGTGGACTCACTGAGACCTGATTGGCAAGTAGAACCCAGAATCCCAACCCCAGGGCTCTGTTCTATTGGGACAGGACCAGCACCCAGAGAGAGACAGTAACTTCCATAGGATGGCAGAGCTGGACTCCAAACCCCTCCGTCACAAGGGCTGAACACCTCATAGGGCAAGGTCATGGGATAATGAACCTCAAGACCATCTCCTCCCATCTATGGAAGCCCCGTGCTGGGCAGCTATGGGCTCCTAAGCAGATGTCTCTGGGCTGCTCACAAAGCCCTAGGCAGAATGAGCTCCTATCTCCAGGGTGCTCTGAAGCTCAGAGGAGAGAAGGAGACAGCCTGGGTGATGCTGGGGTGCTCCAGGAGATGACACCTTCATGGAGGACAGGGCAAGCTTAGCTCCTGCAGGAGCCCTTGGGCAGAGGGAGAGCAGCAGGCCTGTCACCATCTCACTGAGCTACCAGGCCCTTTTATGCGCTACTACAGTGTTCGAGACAGCCCATGAGTGAGGTGCAGTCTCACCTGCATCACAGGTGTGGGAACTGAGACTCTGTGAGGTCCAGGCTTGAGGAGGTCAAGGGGAGAACCCAGGTCAGAACCAGGTTCTAACACTGGTCCTGTATGCCTGTTTCTTCCTCTACAAAATGGGGACCCAATTGCTTCTCGGCCTTTTGGCTAAGATCAAGTGCAAAATGGGGACCCGGAGCTTGGAAGGTGCCAGTCTGGCCATGCTAGGGTTTTTCTGGCCTCCAGATGGTGACTGCCCATCAGTTTTTCAACTCTAAAGTGTTAAATCAAGGCCAGTTTCTGTATCTCCTTAGCCACCTCCCCTGGGCTGTTGGGGAGCAGAGAGGGCACAGCCCTGGGCTCCAACCAGATACCTCAGGCACCAGAAGAAACAGATGTGTCCCACAAAGCTGAGGAAGCAATGGCTGGCTCCTTGGGGGGGAGTCCTGCCCATGTCACCTCTGAGCAGTGGTCTCACTTCCTCTGAGCCTATTTCCTCATCAGACTGTGTCACTTACTGAGGTACAAGGGGCACCAAGAGCTCATGGAGCCCTGCTGGAAAACCTTAGCTGGTGTTATTGTTTTATTATTTCTTTCTTTCTTTTTGGCACTGGGGATCAAACTCAGGACCTTGTTCTTGCAAGGCAGGCATGGTGCTTGCTGAGCTAAATCCCCAGCCCTTGTTTTATTATATCTACTGCAATTCACTTAGCTCTGAGTTTTAACTCTTCTCTGTATCCCTTTTTTAAAAAATTGTTGAACATATTTCAATTGAATCAGGCACCTTTTTCTGGTCCAGTCATCTGGGAAGTAGAGGGCGGGGACAGGGTCTGGAACCACAGGAAAAAGGGCTGAAAATACAGACTCTCTCGGGAGTCTGTGGGGCTGACAGGTCCCCGAAGTGACCACCAGCCTTGGGAGGGGGTAGGTTGGACCCTGGGAGTTGAGGGATCGCCAACAGCTGTAGAAGAGGTGCTGCCTGGAAGTGTGGCCATGGGCACATGCCTGCCACCCTTGGTCTCAGCCACAACTTGTGGGTTCCTCAAGGGACTGAGGCTGGAGGGTCCCTGTGAAGATCTGCCTCTCCGTTTTCCCTCTAGGAGTGCTCAGGACTGTCAGATCACTCAGCAGGAAACAGGTCCAGAAAAACCTCAACAGAGAAAATGAGTTTCCCCTCCACTGTAAGTTAGGTGGATGGCCCTGCTGTGCAGAGAGAAACAGGCTGCGGTCAACCCACAGGGAGGACACACAACACCAACAGGAAGTTGGGGTTTGCTAGGCAGAGTGGCATACACCTGTGACCTCAGGACACTGAAGCCAGCTGGGGCAATTTAGTGAGACCCTGTCTCAAAAATTCAAAAAGGAATGAGGAGGTAGCTCAGTGGTAGTGCACTTGCCCAGCATGTGCAAAGGGCCTAGGTTCAATCTGTACTGGAAGGAAAAGTGTGCATTTACTGTGAACCATGTGATAGGAGTCATTTGTTACTACAGCATAATCCAGAGAGCTGACTAATGTGCTGGCAGTTGTAAGCCTTGTAAATAGCAGCTATCATAGGATTGTTTTATTTCAGGTACAAAACAAGGCACCGGGCTGAGGTTGCCAGAGCAGAATTTACAGTGATGTTCAGAAGCAACATAGAGAGCAGGTCTCCTTTCTGTTACAGCTGTACAAGACCCCCACCACCACCTCACCCCCGCCAGTCTTGTTGCTCCACATCCTCCCAGTGGGTGGCACTCTCTTTGCCTTTGTGATTAAAGAAGTTGGCTGTCCCCCACCCGCAGTGTGCAGACCAACCCAGAGAATGCCTGGGGAACCCGCCTGGAGCACATGTCCAGAGTGCTCCTTCCCCAAGCTGTGGCCTCACTAGCTCCAAGGGAGGCTGGAAAATGGCTCCTAGGAGACAACTAGAACTGCCACAGACAGACGCGGCACCTGTACTTGGTGGCACATAACACTGCTGATGAGGCAGTGAGCTGTCACTGGGGAGAGAAAGCAGAGGCTCAACCCCTCTCTTTGGATTCCAGGTGAGGACCCCCAGGGCAGGCCCCAGTTCTCTGGAGCAGCCCCTCTGCCTGGGCACCAAGGGCAGGAGTTGGGGTTGGGACCGGCTGGCTAGGGAAGCGTAAATGGAGACCCGGGGCGCCCCCTGGCGGCAAGGCTGCGCCCCTTCCCCACGGGAGCCGACTGCCACCTGGCGGCCCGAGATCCCGACCCCCACCCCCACCCCCACCCGGCAATCCTGGCACCCACAGGTACCCCCTGGATCTCGAGGATGAACTTCCTTGCAAATGGTCTGCTGCCAAGGATCCCCTAGGGCCCTAGGAGGAGGGCGCTAGACAGGCTACACCGAATGAATCTGGGGTGGGGTGTGTCACAGGTACCTGGCCTGAGTCCTGGGTTTGTTCGGTTTAGCCAGATCCCGCGTTATGCTCTAGAGGTTAGTGGCACTCTCGTCCCTGACCCCCACCCCTTCCCCTGACGGGGAAACTGAGGCTCAGACATTAAATCACTTGGTAGGCGACAGTGGCAGGCCCACATTCTGGTCCTGGCTGCCCTGCTGTCCCCAATACCTCCAGGCTCTCCTGGCTCGGGCCCCAGTGTGTGTGGGCATCCAGCCCCCCTGGAGGTTTGCTCCCCTATCAGACAGGACAGGTGCCCTTTGAGGTTTGTGGTGACTGTTACACCACGGTGAAGGGGACACGGCCCAGGAGCGCCCTCCCGTGCAAGCACAGCACTCATCCATGGCTGGGAGGTGCAGAAGGCAGCTGGACACCTTGGCACGGCTTTGCGGGGGACACATACCAGGAGGCCCTGAGGAGGCAGCCCAGTGGTGGAGCTGGTGTGGGGAACACTTTGAAGGGGCAGAAACGCACTGGGGCAGGGGCAGGGGGTTGGAGCTGGGACCCTAAGCCAACGCTGTAGGGGCAGCAGGTACTGAGCTAGCTTCTGCTTCCAGGGACGGGGGAAGTGACTGTCCATCTCATCACACTACGGCCGAGTGTCTGGACTTCAGGCCAAGTCTGTCTGAATCCAAAGCCTTCTCCACACAGAGCTGGGAAGTGAAGGTATGAATTATAATGTGCATTTTATGGATGAAACTATGACTCAGAGTTTACATAACTTGGCCAACAGGAAGGTAGAGTGTGTCACCCACTCCTAGAATCTCCCATGTTCTCATCTGTGAAATGCAAACGCAGTCCCTCCCGGGGAGTTCTGAGAACCCAGCAACGGAGCCCCCCCACCCCCCCCCACACATTCGTGCTTAGTAGGTGCACAGGCTGTGTTAGTCCTTCACTTAGTCTCTTACTCATGCTTTCCAGGAATCACAAGACCCTCCTGATGTTACAGCAAGAGGAACGAGCCAAGAGGAAGGGGAGCCAGTGTTGGAGGATTGCTAGTCCTTGAAGATTCTCTTTGGAGGGACAGGGACACTGGTGCCTGCAGTCATTAAGGTACTAACTGCCCAGATGTGCGCACCAGGTCGCTGTGACATTTCCGGTTTGGAGGAATCATCAAGAGGCCAAGAGGCTTTTCAAACTTCTTGGCTAGTTTCTCTTGCCAAGAGATGCTCAAGGGAAAAGACTTAAGACAAAATGAAAGCTCACTGAAAGAACCTACAGTCAACTTGAATGTAGCTAATGGTTCATATTATAGTCACTGAAGCTTGAGGTCAGGAATGGGGCAGGGAACTGCCATTCACTGACTGGGATTTCCCAGCCGCCTTGTGCTGGACTTGGAAGGCTTCCTGTGCTGTGCTGTTGTAAATAATGCCAGCATAAACACCTCTGTACCAGAGCGCTTGTCTCTGAGTTGTCACTTCAGGATAAATGTCCAGGAGTGAGTGGCTCGCTGGCATAGCTCCTGCCACGCTGCCCTCTGGAGCCTGAGGTAGTTTTCCTGCTGTGCCAGCACCAGGTTTCATGGGGACACCAGGGTAAGGCCATAAGGCAGGGCTGTTCTAATTTGCATTTCTTTAGGAACATCCCAGGGCTCATTAAAAAGCTCTCTAAGAAACACCACCAGTTGCCTGGGAAGTGTGAATTAAGGATAAATATTTTACTTTATAGAAAAAAAAGGAATTTTGAGCCAAGAGTGGTGGCGCATGCCTATAATCTCAGCATTCTGGAGGCTGATGCAGGAGGATCACCACAAGTTCACGGCCAGCCGGAACTACATGTGGAGAGCCTTCTCAAAAAAACAAACCAATACAAACAAACAAAAAAAAAGAATTTTGATTCTTTTTTTTTTTTGGTACCAGGGATCGAACTCGAGTCCTTGGGCTTGAGAGGCAGGTGGCAGAACCACTGAGCTAAATCCCCCACCCAAGAATTTTGATTCTTAATGAGATCAGCTTAAATTTCAACTTGCCTTTTGGAAAGCTTTTTTATTGTGGATATAATACACCTCTAGGAAACTGCATAAAACCTAAACATTCCCCTCATTAATCTATCACAAAGCAAATGCCCAGTATAATTCCCACCAGGCAATAAACAGTATATGTAATACCAGCCCCCAGGAAACCCTCAGATGTCCCTTTGCAAGTGCCACCACTTCCCTGCATGGGAACATACACACTATTCTAATACTGTAGTTTAGTTTTAAAAAATAGCTAGTTTAGGGGCTGGGGCTTTAGCTCAGTGGTTCTGCCACCTGCCTCGCAAGCACAAGGACCCAAGTTTGATCCCTGGTACCAAAAAAGAGCAAAAAGTAGCTAGTTTAGTTTTGCCTGTTTAAAAATTTCCCAGGTATGGAACAGCAGTGTGTGCCCTTTTATGCCTGGCTTCTCTGGGTTTGGGAACTTCATCTGCCTTGTTTCGGGTGCCTGAGGTTTGGTCACTGCCATTGTCCTGTAGCTCTCTCTTTGTTATAGAAAACAGACTGCCTGTCAGAAAGACCTTGCCTTGCTTCTGGTTGGGGCTGTTAAATAGTGCTGCTTTCCAGTACTCAATTGTCTGGCCCTGGCCATGCCACTGGGGTCCACCGTGGCCCCATACTTCTGGTAACAATATACTAAGAGGAATTTTTCTTTGACTGTCCTTGCATTGCATTTTATTTTATTTTTTGTTGAGACAGGGTCTCATTATGTAGCCCAGGCTGGCCTTGAACTCACAGTGATCCTCCTGCCTCAGCCTCTTGAGTGCTGGGGTTTCAGGCATGCACCACTTATGCCTGGCTATCCTTACATTTTAGTGGTGAAATGAAACATTGTTTCAAATCTGGGACTTTTGCCTTGTATTGCTGGTGTTTCTGCACCAAGGATAGATTAATTTATTTGGATTTTAGCATTAGAAGTGAAACTCTTCGGAAGCCGCTGCAGCTGGTAAAGACAAGTTGCTCCACCTCTGGCTTCTCTGAGTCCTCCCCAGGACGTGACCTCAACTTCTGCAGATGAGTAGGGGGTCTTTGTCAATGTTGGACAACCCTTCTCCCAGCCTCCACTTGGACTATGGGGTTCCCCCACAGCATGGCTCCCACAGGGAGGCTGTGACTGCACTCTTTTCCCGAAGCTGAAGGAACCACAGCCTCCCTCTCACCAGCCAATTGACCCTTCTGCCCAAGGCCCGGCTGACTTACCTGCTTCCTGGCCTTTTTTTTTGGTACCGGGGATCGAACTCAGGACCTGGTGCTTGCCAGGCAGGCGCTGTGCCGCTGAGCTACATCCCTGGCCCTTCCTGGCCTTGAATTGTCTTGATCTTGTCCCTTCCGAGCAGTTCTCCAGCTTCTATGGAGAGTAAAAAGTGCCCAGAGTTGGGTGTGGTGGCACATGACTGTACTCTCGGCACTCTGGGAGGCTGAGGTGGGAGGATCAAGAATTCAAGTTCAGGGCCGGGGATTTAGCTCAGTGGTTCCTTCTCCTGCCTCGCAAGTGCAAGGACCCAAGTTCGATCCCCGGTACCAAAAAAAA